GTCAATCTGACGTAAGATTCTATGAGATTTGTATGTTAATATAGATTATTGGAATTTATATATTTTTAGACGTTATTTATATATTTTCATAAAATATTTAATAATTATAAATATATAATATTTTGATTTATATTTTTTTCATAGATTTCTTGATTATATTGATATTTTAGCTCTATTAAACTTAAGTATAAATTTTTATCATAAATAAGCTTGACCTATTATTTTTTGTTTCCATTTCTAATCCAATACTATTTGGTTTTTTTTATCTTTTCAATCTAAGACTTTAATTTTTAATATTTTTTAATATCATTTTAATATTTGGTTACTTATTTGATGTGATTTAGATGAAAGATTGTTTTAAAGTGACACCTAAGACTTGTTTAAATTGAGTATAGCATTTACTTTTTTAAGAATAATTTTTAATGTATGCAAAAATCATGATGCAAAAATCTTATAATGTATGCAAAATCATGATGCAAAAATCATGATTTTTAAGAATGATTTTCAATGTATGCAAAGAATTTATAAAATCATATAAATCTTATTAGCCTTGTTAAAAATTCCATGTCTAATTTAAGTATATCTGTATTTTACTAACTTAAGTATATGTTGTGGGATCTTTTGCAAATATAAAATTTACCTTTTATGACAATTTTAGTCTAGTTATTTATATTGAATTGATACTTATTTCTATCAAAAAATGAACTAGTAGAAAAATATTATGTTAAATGCAGAATTTGCTGATTTTTATTAAACAGTGTATCTTTATCTGTATTTACTTATTCAAGAATAATAGTAACTTGATTTTATTTTAATATCATCTAAGGTAAAATTTAGACTGTTTATTTAAATAAAGAAGTCTCACAAGTTTAGTCTTATCTCAAAAAGATTCCAAAAAAACAATCTTTATAATTTAAATCATAATAGCGAGCAAACATTTTTTGAAACTTGATTCTATCAAAATAATAATAATAACAACAACAACAACAACAACAACCTGTTTTGGCTTCTAAAGTAAATTATCAATCAAGCCCTAATATAATTAGTATTGTTTTATGAGAATATTAGAATCATATATTATAGCTATTCCTTATTGGTTCTTGGATTTGTCATTCAGTATTATTTACAATACTTTATTACCTGAAAGTTTTTTATATTTTATATTAAATAGTTAGTATGTAATAAAATAATAAAACAAATCTTACTTGCTTCTAAACTATCTAGGACATTTACGAACCTTAAATATTCTTCTAAATAAAAAAAAAATGTGTCTTTCAGTTCATACTTTGACTTAATTTTTTTGTCTTTTGATTTCCAGGATTATTTCCAGGATTATATCTGTGCAATGTGAGAATGTCATATCAATGTATATATACTATATATGTAGCTTTTTCATTGAAGAGTTGTATTTAAAAATATCTAGATCTTTAACTTTAAATTTTAAAAACTATTCTTATTTAGTATAATTTTAGAAAGAAAATTGATATATTAATACTCACAAATAAATGGATAAATAAACAATCATCTTATTAATCTTTGTGCTTTTATGAAGCAATCTTCTTCTTTTCTCTTTGTACATGTGCAATTTTTTTGGATTGAATCATGTCTTATCTTGCTTATTACAAAAATTCTATTTACAAAAATAGATAAAAAATACTTAGATCTAATCCAAAATATGATTTAATTTTAAATATATTTACAATTCTATGATTATTTTGTTTCCTAATTTATTACTAACTATCATATTAAATTCCAAACTTACCACCAAACATAATTAGAAGTAATGCTTGGTATATTTTTGGATCTTTCTTAAATTTAAATTAATATTCTAATTTTATAAATGACTATATTGTTGATTATATAAATTTAGAAAATTACATTATTAAAACTAAGTGTATTGTTTAAGTAAGCTACCATAAAAGATCTTATTTGTAAGGGCGACAATGGCCACCTTGACTATTACATGTTTATTTTGTAATTTAAATCATTTTTAACAATAATCTTAATGTTTATGTATACAATCTATTTGGTTGTTTTAATGTTGTGCAAAGGTAAGTGTGTATTAACTCTAATATAAATCTTTTGGTTTTTATATGATATTTTGTAAGATATCTTGAATTAAATACAACTTTTACGTAATTTTTCTTTTGATTTTTTTTGATTTTTTGATTATGTTAATTTTATTAAAAGCACATGATATGTGCCAAGATATTTCTAAAAAAATGTATATATATAAATATATACATACATATATATATATATATATATATATATATAGATTTATCTAAAACAAATCTCAACCTTAAATTAGCCTCCCATACAGTACTTATGAAAGGATTCTCATTGTTTAAATTTAACAATGAACTTATAATTAATCAATAATTAGGTGGTTTTATAATTCTTTTTAAATAGTCATAACAAAATATTATTAAGGTTATCAAAATTGTAGATATCTTTAACATATTTTTTTGACTTTTATATAAATTAACAAAAATCAATAACTTTATAGTATTCTTGCAACCTCAAAGTACTATATATCAACACAAATTATTGGAATTAGGCAAACTAAGCTCCGTCGTACGAAGAAGACGCTGTGATACTTCATTCAAGTCTTGCCTAATGCGCCCGGGCTAATATCCCACCTACACCTCACGTTCACGAATGAAAAATAAGAAACAAATTCTTATCAAAAGACATCAAATGTATTTAACCTCCAACAACCAATCTATCAAGAAGCTATTACTTTCATCGAAGATACAAAATCATTACAGCACTTGGTTGTTAAATCAAGCTTTTGGAAAACTTCAAAACAAATATTCAAATATATATAAAAGAGAGAAAGAGAGAGATTCGTGCCTCTCCGCCGCATACCGACAACAGGTTTCTTCAGGTCTTCAGCCACTGATCCAGATGTCGCCGTTACCTCGACGAAGTCTGACACCATGGCGATGGTGGATGGCAGCGGCTTCCAGTCACAGCCAACCGTTACTAGATGACGAAGATTCGTCAAGTTAGAAAAGTTTCCCTGGTGGTAGTGACGCCGCTGGGAGCTCAACGCTTGTCATCACAACACCTTAGCTCCCACCTCTCGGAAGCATCTCCCCTGCAGACCTTTAGCTATCGACAAAACCGTGAAGCTTTGAAAGTCGTAATGGATCGAAGCCAGACACACAAATTCGTTCTATATATTGGGTACCTGCGTCCAAGGCATTTTGTAGCACATGGGTTACCGTAGATAGGCAGTGGGCGGCGCATGCGCTGCAGTGGGGCGTCCACTTCCCCTGTCCACGGTGAACTTTTAAAACATCCACCTTCAAAAAGCGTCTGCTGGCATCATCTCTGGGCAACCGACACTGTTGCTGACTGCCCCACGACCGTTGATCCGTTTGCCTTGGCGCTAGTGCTTCCGCTGAACCATCCAGTCCTGGCGCTGTGATCGAACTACTTGACGATGGTCGATGCACTGAAAACAAAATCCATACATATTGCATGTGATTCTCCATTACACATTGCATGTCCTCACTTGAGGATGGATTCTACCGGTAGCTTTATAGATGATATATGCAGCTATATGCTTCCGCACACAGAGCAGTTATAGATAGATAGTTAAATGTGTAGGTACATTTAATTATTCCCTCTAATTCTGGCTTTGTAAATATGCACACAAAAAACGCGACGTTATATGATATTGGAGGGTATGTTGAATTGCATGTGTTCAGTTTTTTGTTCTTTATGATCACTTCGATGAAACGAGTTTGTGTTCTGCTTTCAGACAAAATGTGTTCTTCTTTTTTTGTATTGTTCTTTACTTTTAGTTTATGATACTGTTCGCAGAGAAGGGGGGTTGCTACTAAAATTTTAAACATGTGTGTCTTAAAAAGAATTTTGATTCTGGATACTGTTTGGTAATGTTTCAGGTTTCCTTCTCAAGTGCAAAATTGTTTTGATCTAGTTGCGAAATTTTAGTTCTGACTCTGTTGTACGTGTTCTGTGGGTTTGTTTGATTAATTCTGTTGTATTTAAGTGTATCTACTACAAGTAATACACTGACATAATCTAATCAATGATTTATTCTGCAGATGCTTTAACTTTCATGTACACTAATACACGTAGTTATATAAAATGAATATTAATAATAAAAATAACTTCCAGGTTGAATATTTACGATTGCAAGTTAAAGTTTTAAAGAACATTTTGAAATTGTATGTTTTTTTTAGTGGATACTCTATTTTTTTTTGGCTATCGCATTTTCAAAGAAATACAATTGATGCAGGAATATTGCAAAGATTATTTCAGAATATTCGATTTTGCTACAACATAGGATGTGCAGTTCTCAAATACATGAATAGATACTTTAATACGTGTACCATTTATTTTATTTTTATTCCATGTTTAGCTTTTTAACAGTAAAGACTATTTTTTAAGTGCTTTCAACACATATGTTTGCTCTAAGGGTCAGACATGCATTTAAAGTTTTTTGCAATAACTACTCACCAAAGAAATTCGTGTATATATATATATATATATATATATTCCAGTTTGACTAGACAATGAAGAAGAATAAAAAGAAGAAGGCAAAAGAGGAAATTCCACATCCTCAACAAAAGGTTTGCAAATATCCCAACAATGAATGCCAATGCAACAGAACACGGTCTTGAGGGACACGGTCATGAGAGGCAGGGTGACAGGGGAGCCAGCACCACCCCTGACTGAGCACGAGCGTGAGTGAGAGAGAGGTGGGCCGCGGTAGCGTCGTCGGCGCTAGACTGAGGGAGGTTGCGTCGCGTCGCGTCGCGGCGTCATGGTTTCGAATGCTTGTGCACGATCGAGGCGGCGCAGAGAGGCGCACTCCCCACTCTCTCTCTCTCTCTCACTCACTCACCTGTGCTACTTCTGGATCGAAACTCACGGCTTTCTAATTCTCATTATCTGCCCACAGTTGGGCTCCACTGGTGCCCCCCCCACCCCCCCCCACCTCCCCTCCCCTACCCTCCGCTTTCCAACCCTAACAACTCCATGATCCTACCTTGACGCTTCGCCTTGTGTGATGGTCGGGGTTATCAAGACTTTCTCTCGCGGGATTCCGATTCCACATGTGGATCCTCATCCTGCTTGCTTCGGTCGGCGCTTTTTAATCGTTGGCTCAGACTGCACACAGCTGGGTCGTCCAGCGCGGTGCCGATTTGTGGATACCTACCGACAGATTGACACAGTGAGAAAGAGAGATAGATAGATAGAAGCCTGACCCCCCCCCCCCCCCCCCCTCCCGATGGATCTAGTCATCTTCAGTGGTAGTGACACTGTTGAATTCCGTGATCTAGCGTTAGAGATCCGTAGATAATCCTCTCGTCGTGGTGCCCGCGTGCATTGAGCGAGTTAGTGAACGCGGGAAGTTGCAGTATCGCGTAGAACGTGCTGGTGTTGACTCTCACTGATGCCCATCCGAAATTGAGACGATGAACTAATCCCTGTGTGAGGTGTAAATGAGCTATGTGTCGTTGATCTGCCTTTGATCTCGTTGAGACTCGAGGACCGTGTTGTGGCATGTAAGTAGTCTAGGCTCCGTTGGACGAAGAGTTGAATTGTCGGGATGGACTTTAGCAACGTGCTGTTCTACGCGTGAAAGGATTTAGGTCTATAAGTGGGATAAATGAGAAAGGAGACGCGATTTTCGTCATGGATGGCGAAGAGAGTGTTCGCGAGACGATGAAGAGCAGCTAGCAGAGCCGCATTTCCCATCCTTTCAGTGAATTCTCTAAATTATGCGAGTTTATGTAGTTTGAATTATAATCAGAATGCGGAACTGTTGGAATAGTATAAGAAATTGTAGGTACAGTGATAAATATAGGAGGAAAAAGCTGCGGGTATGGCATTATGTTGTGGGAGTTTCGACGATTCTGATCGTTTTGGCGTTGGCTTTCTCGTCGAAGCACCTTGGGAAGTCCGTTAGTATGAACCCCTGCGACTTGTTTGGCGGAAATGTGTGTGCCGGCTTTCAGGCGACCGTGAGACCCTTTACCGACGATGAATTGGCCATTCGAGTACTCGCCAAGGAAATGCTCTCGGAACGGACTGCGGTCACGGACTGGAATCCAAAGGTTGCGTTTATGTTCCTGATTGCGAGTGATCTCCCATTTGAAAGAGTTTGGGAGAAGTTTTTCCAGGTTCGACTTGTACATTGCACGCTCTGTTTCCACACCTGAACTCAACTTGTTGCGGATGATATGGGTGCATGTTTCCAATTCCTTACGACTAGTACGCTGCTACTAGAAAAATTACTATCCTCTAGAATTTTAGCGGTAGTCCCAGGCATAGCTTCATGAATCAATCAGTTTAAAGAAAGTTTGCAAAATGCTTTGCCTCAACCTAGCTGTGTGTGTCGCAGTGTCGCCTGGAATTTGGTTAATACACAAGTGCCCTTTTCTCTGTCACTCTCCTTTGACGAGAGTTTGAGCCACCATATTCATATGTTAGGGTCGTCGTGTATTCACCTCTTTCTAATGCGTGGGCAGGGAAACGAAGGTTTCTATTCCATCTACGTGCATGCCTCCAACCGCGACTCATCAAAAGTTTGGAATTCTACTGTATTTGCTGGTCGAGAGATACCCAGTAAAGAGGTGATGCACTTATCAACTGTCAAGTTTCAGCTTTCGCAGCAATGCTTGAACATTTGACTCTTGTGTTTTCAAATGCGATTACTTCTGAAACGTGGTCCTTTAAATATTTGGGATTATCCCACGCCTCTTGAAATACCAGTCGATACCACGATGTTGTAGGTTATTCACTGATCAGTTTACTTAAATTTATTAAGATTATACTTACCGAATTGGCGTACGTTGCCTGCATTCTTGCTCTACATTTTTCCTACCTTCCCAATGTACAGGTTAATGTTGGGGTATTCATGCTGGTGCCTGTTTCGCAGGTTCATTGGGGACAAATTGAAATGATTGATGCAGAGCGACGGCTTCTCACCTTTGCGCTCCAGGACTTGGACAATCAGTATTTTGCTCTACTATCTGAATCGTATGTAATTTCTTCCTTACACTGAATTCATGGTTCATGGTTATTCGTGGAACGATTATGGAAATTGAACAGTAAATCTTCCATAAAATCACACCGATCTCGTTGTCTGGCAACTGAAGTGATTTGTTTGACTGATTCATTTTTGCAGATGCATACCTCTTTACAACTTCGAGTACACCTACCACTATCTTATTCGCTCTCGCATGAGTTTCGTGGACAGGTTGTTTAAACTATTCATTTCACCTCCTGGAAATTGTTGCACATTTTTACGTTGTCTGTTTTCAGCTTGAAAGGTCACTTGTTTGAATATTTCTCACCTTGAAACAATGAGAGTTAGATAGAATTGTCGATACATCTCAACCGCGGTTTGGAGTCATCATTTCATCATAATTATGGAAGCGAACTCTTGTTTGGCGCTCTTGAAGAAATTATCTAGTTTGACCTATGCGTTGATACGTAATTGTTTCTTAAGGAAGCCAGTTATTGTTTTCAGTATGTGGCGTTCCACTATAGCTGTATTTACCTATTCCACGCCATTGCTCTTAATCGATGTTTTTCTTTGATCATGTATACGGTCACAGTTTCAAAGATCCTGGCCCTCATGGACAAGGCCGCTACTCGGAGAGAATGGCTCCTGAAGTGTCATATACCGCTTGGACCAAGGGTGCTCAGGTATGCAGTCAGAACTCATTCATAATATATCTTTGAATAATAAAATCTAAAAGACAGTACTCCAAGTTGTATTGCAGATTCTTTTTCATCTACACTTCTTACTTTTGATCGTGTCAAAACTTTTTTCTAAAGAAATAAGCATGGAGCACTGCATGTACATTTATCAAATTTGATATACTCTGGTACCGAATCATGTGAAAATTCTCTCAGCTAGAAACACGTAGCTTTCACGGACCCACATTCATCAGCCACATCGTACAAACGCATATACCTGGCCACTACTGATGCTGTTTTATATCGCATGCACATGTAGTGGTTTGCAGTTCATCGGAAACATGCAGTACTGATTATAGTAGATTATCTTTACTACAATAAGTTCAAGGATTTCTGCAAGGTGCGTATGCATCTTCTTTAGTTTTCCTTTCTTTACGTGAAGCTTATGAAAAAGAGAAAAATTGCCATTCTATCGGTGTATAATTTTGTTTTCAAGGAACGCCTTACTTATTAGGTCTTGCCTGGCATTTGCATCCAGGCATATTATAAGTTTTGCTGTGCTCTGGTCGATGAGCTGTCTATTCTTTTTGAGTTGGTTTTTGAGTTCAGAGTGCACTGAACTTTCTTTAGGTTTCCTGACATTTATGGACACTGTGGAGAATGCAGCCTGGTCAGGAGAATAAGAACTGCTACCCTGACGAACACTATATTCAGACTTTTCTACATGTACGTAACAAAATCCTTCACAAAATAAAATTAATTCACTAAATGGACACTCGGTAGATCGGCTTCACACGGTCAATGCTCGGAACCTATAGGGTCATTGGATTATTTTGTTGAAGTCATAATCAAAGCAGCGTTACTTTCAGAACACTTTATAACTAGGGGAACATTTAATCGTCGTATGGATTGACCTTGTTTAGTGTAGGATGAAATTCTGTGCTCCCTTGTTGTGATATTGGTGTGTTTCTTGAAAATATGTAGGGTCTTAGTACGCGCCTCAGTTTAACTGCTATTCAGCTAAATTAGTATCAGGATTTGTAACTCCTCGTCGTGACTAGTACCGGAATACTAAATTCTAACAGCTATAGTGCAATGTTTCTGGCTCAGATTATGGATCCTAGTCATCTCTCAAATTGGACTGTTACCTATGTGGATTGGTCTGAGCATCTATGGCACCCCAAGTCTTTCGAAGAGGGCGATATCGCGGAAGATCTCTTTCGAACTGTTAAGGTAGCATTCGCATATTCACATCAAAACTTGAATGTCTTTGTTTAAGGACTATAGATTGGATTTTTCAATACCAGAAAACCCTGGAGAAGCCAGCAGTACTATTTTGAAGTCTTTGTATTTCATGGGGTTTATAGTGGAATTTTGAAGCTGTCTTCCAAGCCCTCTATTATCCTGCCATTTATTGTTCCGTCACTGAAATTATGCAGGCTATCCAGAATCATGAACATGTCACAAGTGAGACCTATGTACGTAATTTCTGAACACTAACTGTAAATCTGTGTGTTGTGGCCTCTAGTTCGTGAAAGCTTCATTTTTATAATTTACGCAATTCATGGGTTTAGCATTTCAATGCAAGTCCAACGTTTAGGAGCGATTGGTCAATCAGCACTTACAATTATGAAATATATCAAATATCGAGAATTGTCTGTGTACGATTGACAAAAACGATGACTTTTGTTTACTGATTGCGGGCTGCTGATTTTCTTCATTCAATCCAGTCTACACTTCATTGTGGTCCCTTGCACACATCGTCTCGAATTATTAGTATTCATATTGTGGGTCTTTCACGATTTGGTGCAGCCTGTACAAACCTCTAAGCCATGCCTGTGGAATGGGCGCTCTCAAGGATGTTTTCTATTTGCACGGAAATTTCGCCCAGAAACAGCGGAGGCTCTAGTTAATCTGCTTCCAAGCAAAGTTTGGAACAATTCAATACACCATTCACGATCTTCAGCCACTCCGGATGATAATAACCGATGATGCCTTCGCCAAATCCGGACGTCAAGATTATGAAAGCCATTGCTCCTTTCTGCTTTGTTCTCTTGTATTAGTGAGCTCGTTATTTTTTTCATTCGTAACTTTGGAACATCACCTTTATTTATCGCTGGCACTCTGCTGAAACGAGAGCTATCAGCAAGAAAAAGAGGCGGTTGAGCATTTATAATTGTCGACCTCGCCGGATGCAATTTTAGGACCTGAGTAACTAGTAGAAGACAGGTTTTAGGCAAGCTTGCAGATCTTCTGTTTACCATGTATCTACCACTGGGTCCAACTTAAGATGGGCACCCTTCAAATCCCATTTTTAGTGTAGCTTGTGAGTATCTCAGCTCTCGTACTCGAAGGGAAGCAATTAGTGTCCTTAACTGGATGCAGAAACCATTCCTTAAACTTGATACCGCTAGTGCACTCGTATTGCTAGATTTCGGTGTATATGTGGCAATTGGTATATTACACATCAATTTTCATTGAATCGCTAGTGATATCTGGCGACCTGTGAACCTCAGGCTGTATTATGTCGTAGCATTCCATGTTGATTTGTTTCCATGCTTTAGTTTCTCCATGTTCGGAAGTTTCAGAGTTCAGGTTTATTTGTACATATGAGATCTTACAACCTACTTGCCCCTATGCTTTGTACAGGACAATAATAGTTTCCAGCATAAACCACTGAAATCAACACTGTGATTATCCTAAGTTGTTAAAGTGCAATGCCCACCGTTCCTGCATGATTGGGATACAATGCATTGTTGAAGATCAAAGTAAGGTAGCTGACCTATTGTCGACCACCCCCCATTTCAAACCACAAAGGTGGGATATTTTTATGAGTTTGGTGACCTATAGTCAACTAAGTTTGACATTCTTTGCTTAGAAATAGGTTAAGGGCTGGTTAAAATAATGTCAGACTTTAGTTGTGAGTAACAAATAAAATTTAATATACTTAGAATAGGTATGTTTGAAGTATCAATATAGGTGGCAGTTGTTGATTGGTTGAAGTGGGATAACAACATAATTAGGATCCACACTTCTTGGTTTTATAACCCACCATTGATCGGAATTAAATTGGCCCATATGTCAAAAATGGATCATAGAGAATCTTTAGCTGAAAATTTTATACAAAATCCGTTTTTAGATTAAAATGCAAGAAAACACTTAAAATCCTCTTGATTTCTACTTCCCTATATGGGGATATATTTTTAAAATTATTTTTACATTTAATGCAAATAAGCTGAAACGTTTAAGTTATTGGAAATGGATCATCTACCTTGCATCTTACTATTCACTGCTAATTTTAAATGTGCAAATTGAGTTCTGATTATTTGTGAAGTGCAAATATACTACTCTGCACATTGAGTTAGATTAGTACAATTATTGCTATTTTCTATTTTGATGATATATTTTTTCCGCATTTTTATTTATGTATTTGTACAATTTTCAAAATAAAATTTGTAAAAACTTTTTATTTACTTCGGTTAATGTGTAATACATGTTCCTCAGTTAGATTAAAAATGCAGTTGATGTATTTATTGTTATTAAATAATTGTAAATATGCTTAGTTTTTGTAGGCTGGATATTATCCATGTACTTTTAAAGCAAATTTCAATATTTTGTAAAAGTAGTTCTTTTTTCACACATACAAGTTTGAACATATGTTGCATTTGTTGCATGTTTGATTAATGATGTGTAATATGTTGGATTGCATCAGCATAGCATTCCATTCAATTGATTTGATTTTTTAAATGTTTTGGTTTTTGTGTATTTCGTTATGTTTGCAAAGTATTTAAATTTTTTTCCGTACATTTACACAACTTGACATACATACACAAACATGAAAGCTCTGCACCAAAAACAACCAAAAAGACACATAACAATAATAATAATAATAATTACATAGACCAATTCTTGGTGATGGATTCAAAATACAGTTAGACAAACTCAAAGAAAGTTATTAAATAGGGAGAATAATTCTACTTGTATTAAGGAAAGAATCAAACCAATTAGTGTAAAAAAATAAAAGAGGGGACAATATAATAGATCTTTGATGCCTTCCAACATGCATATTTAGAATGAATCTTGTTTTGAATTTAAATCTATATTAGGGACTATTGGTTTATTCACATAGACAATACCAAAGGGAGGTATAAATACATTAGATTTTAAAAATTACCATATTAGATTGTATTTAAATAATAGTTAAAATTTCTAAAGTATATAATTTATTATATTAATTTAATTAAATAATTTAATAAATAAAATACTATAATTTGGCAAGGTAAAAACATATAAATTTAATTAAAATATATAAATATATACTAAGATAAAATCATATATAAATATTTGTTAAATAAATTTTTAAAATATATGCACTTAATTAAAAATTACACATTTATAAACATATTTATTTTAATATATATATATATATATATATATATATATATATATAGATAAATTTTAATTACTACCAAAAATATCATGTAGTGGTAAGATTTACAATTATGTGAACATAGATGAATATCAAAGACAACTAATTAAAATTAATAATTTTTATATCGAAATTGTTATATACTTAAATCCAAAAGAAGGATAAAATATTACTATAGTATTTAATTAAATTCATTCATACCAATCTTAAAAATTACCAAATAATGTTTAGAGTGATATAAACTTGTAAATAGGTAAAATATCCAAAATATCCAAATATTCAATGAATTATAATTTATAACTATAAATTTTTGAAGAGATTCTATATATATATATATATATATATATATATATAGAATATTAAATATTTAAAAAAGATATCTCTTAAGATATATAATTTTATGAATAAATCAAAATTAGATTTATTATTAATTATCTAATTATAGTATTAATTGAATCTCAAATATATTATATTAGTAAAAAAAAGAATTTATAAAATACTTAAAATCAAATTTATATATCCAATATCTATAGTGAATAGATATCTATTATAAAAAACGATAAGCTTTGAATTTGTTAAGAACTCCCAAATTATTTAGCTTAAATAAAGCTAAATAATTATATATATATATAGTTTTTTTTTAACCATTTATGGATTTAACTTTAGACTTTGTTGATGGCCATGGCAGTTAGCTTTCACAGATAGATTCATTTCATATTATTAAGTCCAAATCAATCCACCACACAAACTATAATTCACTTTTATAATTGATCAAAGAAAATTTGTCTTCAAGATAATATCGTTTGATTTGTAAAACATACTAGCCACTTTCTAACACATTATGATTATTTTATTTCAATAATAAAGATACAAGTTTATAAAGATATATTTTTAAAAAAATTATGTTTTTATTAATAAATAATTATATAGAGAAAATATATTATAAAATATTTTTAATAATTATAAATATTTTATATTTTACTAAACATTGTTAAGTCATAGTTCTTAATTCTATTTGAAATTTATTTAGATCTTATTATATCTATAGATGGTATTGCCATAAACCTTAATAAATTAAATGTATTTTAATTAGTCACAAAAGTTTATAAATTCTTGTAACATGATAGAAGCTATTTTTTACTTTATTATTATCTATGCTATCTTAATAAAATTTCTAAGGAAATATGATGTAAGAAACAACTTGTCTTAGACTCCAATATGACCAGAATTTTTAAGTATTAAAACAACATTTAATTATATTCTCAATTTAAGTTCACCACCATGGAATCAACTATTCCATAGTTGTATTGATGCTTTTAACATTGCTATAGGATATGTATTAAGCCAAAAATATGATCAAGAACATAATCATCCTATTACTTATGCTACTAATCAATTGAACATTGTTAAGTAAAAATTCAACACAAGGGACCAAGAAAATTTAATTAAAATATTTTATAGTCTAATATATTGCCACTATCTATTAAATTACAGCTTTATATTTTATATTGATTATTGTGCTTTAAAATATATGCTAAATAAACCATTTATTATATAGTTTTATTTATCAACAAATCTTGTTATTTCAAGAATTTAAATTTATAATAGTAGTATAACCAGACAAGATATATAATAATACAGATTATTTTAGTTGTTTGGTTAAATTAATAAATAAACTCCCAGTAAATGATATTTTTTAATGTTCAATTAATTTATATTAATATGCTAATATCCTATATTAAATAAGTATACAAAAACTCTTTATTAACTATACCAATAAACAAAAACATTGTTAATAATGTATACAAGACTTTTTATACTTATCAAGAATATCTTTTATAAGTAAAGCTACATTGGAAATCTTTATAGGTGTAATTTATTAGAAAAATTACTAGCCATACTTAAAAGATATTATAGTAATTTTTAGAGAGGCCATTTTGTAAACTAAAATCACTACTTATAAAGAGTTAATTTTGGCTATTGGTATCCATTAGTTTTTAAAGATGCTCATCAATTTTTTCTACATCATGATATTTGTCAATATGTTAGAAAATCCACTTCATTTATCTCCATGCTATTGAATCCTATCTTCACACAACATTCCTTTGAGAAGTAAGACATTAATTACATTATTCTAATAGCACCAACTTCATAATGAAGAAAAAAAGTCTACATCTTAGTAGTGATTAAGTATATTAAGAAATAAAAAAAATAAAAAAATAAAAAACTATAACTATGCAAAAATATGATGCTAACATTGTCTCTTATTTAAAAAAATATGTATCATCACTTTTTTTGGCTATTCAAAAGAATTTATAATAAATAAAGACACTCACTTCTTAAACACCACCATAGAAGCTTTAACAACCATATATATGATCAAACATTATGGAACCACACCTTATTACACTTGTACCAATGATAAAATAAAATAATATAAAATAAAATAAAAAATACAATAGCATTCTTTATAAAATTTTAATTAAAATTATTTTGATAATAATAGTAATTAATATATTAAATTCTTTTGTGCACAATGGACTTATTGTACAATTTATAAAGTTGCCATCAATACTTATCTCTTTTAATTATTCTATGATCAAATAGTTGTTCTTCCTATAAAATCTAAAATCTAAAAATCTTTAAGAAACCATTTGGATGATAGCACTTTTCTAAACTATTATCTTTTTATTTTAAAATAAGTGAATCTATTGAATTAAAAGTTTTTGACAAAAATCCATTGAAAAAATATATAAATAACAATGAATTGAAAGTTTATTTTCATGAACACTATAAACAACTGTCATCTTTTATAGAAGGAAAGAAGGAATTTTAGAACATATTGATATCAGATCTAAGATATAATTACAATCAATAATGTTGAAAGCATCCCTAATAAGTTTTACTACCAAATAAGCTGAGATACAAAACTTAAAAATTACAAATATTTAAAAATTCTAATTATAGAAGAATTAAGTATATATATATATATATATATATTAAAAAAATAGATATCATTATCAGTGATTTTATGAAACACTATATTAATAAGTATCTAAAACACTAATTTCAATCTTTTGTTTTAT